CCGGGGCTCCCACCTTCCCACTGGGATCCCTCCAGTGAGCACCAGCTGCCCATGGCCAGATCCCAGTGGGAAAGGGGCTGCCCGCCCCAGGGGGTGGACACCCTCCTGCCCAGCTCCGTGTGGTGTCCCCAGCTCAGCTGGGCTGGGCTCAGCGGCAGGAAGGGGAGCAGGATGCGGCCCTTAATGGGAATTGCAGAGGGAAGCCGAGGAAGGGAAGTGCCGGGATCGGGATAAACACAGCTGCTGGGGCGGATGTCGGCCCCGGGGCTTGGCACCAACCTGGCCTCTGCCCCGCCAGGACCGGCCCTGGCCCCGCTCAGTGTGGGCAGGACTGGGGCTGGGGCACACTGTGGTGTCCCACACGCTGCCACAGCCCAGCCCTGCCCCTGCTCCCTGCCCTGTTCCAGGGCATGGCATGGCATGGCATGGCACGGCAAAGGATGCTGCCACAGCCTGGCTGGCATGGACACGTCAGCCTGGGGTCAGTGTGGGCCCCGTGCACGCCAGCCATGCTGGCACAGGTCTCATCCATGGGTCAGGGCAGGTGGGTCCCCACTGGGCGGTCTCTGCACACCTCGGGGGCTGCTGGGGGGACGTGCCTGGCCAGGGAGCTCATCCGGGCTGTGGGCTGGAGGGGGAACCAAGGCTGAGTGGACTGTGGTCCCCCTGCACCGTCTGGCCCCGGGGTGTCCGAGCAGGGGGGTGACTCAGCCTCAGCCAGCCCTGACCCTCTCCCTCTCCACAGCCTGCTGAGGGGACGCGAGGGACGCCAGGATGCAGAGCATCAAGTGCGTGGTGGTGGGTGACGGGGCGGTGGGGAAGACCTGCCTGCTCATCTGCTACACCACCAACGCCTTCCCCAAGGAGTACATCCCCACCGTGTTCGACAACTACAGCGCCCAGAACACGGTGGACGGCAGGACTATAAACTTAAACCTGTGGGACACGGCCGGCCAGGAGGAGTACGACCGCCTGCGGACGCTTTCCTACCCCCAGACCAACGTCTTCATCATCTGCTTCTCCATCGCCAGCCCGCCCTCCTACGAGAACGTCAAGCACAAGTGGTACCCCGAGGTGTGCCACCACTGCCCCAGCGTGCCCATCCTGCTCGTCGGCACCAAGAAGGATCTGAGGAACAACCCCGAGACCATGAAGCGGCTCAAGGAGCAGAACCAGGCGCCCATCACCACCCAGCAGGGCATCAGCCTCTCCAAGCAGATCCGTGCCGTCAAGTACCTGGAGTGCTCGGCGCTCAACCAGGAGGGCATCAAGGATGTGTTCACCGAGGCCGTGCGGGCCGTGCTCAACCCCGCCCCGGCCAAGCCCAAGAAGCCCTGTGTCCTCTTGTGACAGGGCAAGCGAGAGACGATCCTGCCCCTGCCCCGGCCCCGCCGTTCCCCAAGACCACCACGTGCCCCCCGCCCGCCCCGGTGCTGCTCCTCAGTGGGCCCGGGGCCGCCAGCCCGACGCCGCCAGCTTTAATAATACAGACCTTGTTTGCACTAACTGGCCGCCTGCCCCGGGGGCACCGGGGCTCCCCCAGCCCTCAGGGCCCCCCAGCCCCGCCGGCCCGCCGGCCCTGGCTGTCAGCGTTCCTTTGGGTGACACCTCTCCGGCCCTGGCACAGCGATGCTTCCTTAGGAGGGGTGCCCGGGGTGGCCAAACCTGCTCCTGCCCTGAGCACCCCACAGGGACCTGCCATCCCCACCCCTGCACCAGCGGGGTGTGCAGGGGCCCCCCCGGGCCCTCTGTGCCAGCCCCAGCGCCCGCCCATCCCGGAGCATCTCCCTGGCACAGCCCCGGCACGGCCCTGTCCTGCTGCAGGGGCAATGCCAGGGGCTCCTGGGGGGGTTCGGGGTGACCCCTGTGCTGGGGATGTCCGGCCCCGCGGCGAGCGGAGCTGGCACAGCCAGAGCAGGGAATTCCCGTGCCGGAGCTCCGCAGGGCAGTGGGACTCCCGTAACCAGCTGCCCCCCGAGCTGCTTCTCAAATAAAGACCCGCCCGTTTCCACTGAGTCTTGTGCTCTCCACCTTTCCCAGGCGTGAGGACGCTCCCCGGGGCAGACCCCTGTGTCCCCACGCCCAGGGGTGTCCGGGGGTCCCCGGCTCCCGTGGCTGACCATGGTGGCAGCGAGGGTCCGGTGGCATCCCCGGCCGCTCTCGCCCCCTCGCAGCCCCCCCGGCACGTGCTGGCGGATCCGGGGGGGCCTGGCAGGGCCCCAGAGCCGGGACACGGGCCCCTTGTCCGGCCCCGGGGCCTTCCTGCAGGAAGGGCAGAGACCCGGCGCCCGCCACAAGCCGCCTTTGTTCCCGCTGCCGCTTCCCGGCCGGGGCCGCGGCTGCCGGGCCGGCGTGGGCGATGGAGCCGCGGGCGGGGGGGGCTCCGGCCACGGCCCCCTCCCACGGCCCCGCCTGGGGCAGCCCCCGGGGTAAGCCGGGGCAAAGCCTGCTCCCTCCGGCCCCCCACCCTGGGAGCCCCCGGCGAGGGGACACAGCCCCGGCCCGGCCCGGCCCGGGGGGTTCACAACAACGGGCTGTGGGTCCCGGCTGCGCCAAATCCATCGGGGATCCAAAGAAATGTCCTGCTCCCGCTGTGGGGACCCCACAGCCACGTCCTGCTCCCACGGTGGGGTGTCCCCAGGGCCATGTCCTGCTCCCACGGTGGGGTGTCCCCAGGGCCACGTCCTGCTCCCACGGTGGGGTGTCCCCAGGGCCACGTCCTGCTCCCACGGTGGGGCGTCCCCAGGGCCACGTCCTGCTCTCCGAGCAGCGGGGGGTTCCAGGGGAGAAGCGGCTGCTGGGACGAGGTGGGGACCCTGGGATGCCGCGAGCGGGACACAGCCCTGCCCCGGCCCCGGCCCCAGCAAAGGGATGAGCTCATGGCTGGTTCCCTCCCAGCTGCTCCCGGGCCGGCCCCAGCGAGGTCAGGGCCCCACCACGGCCGCCCTGGCCGGGGCAGGGGGAACGGAGCCCCCGGCAGCTTCCCTGCCCCTGCCCAGCCCCGGCCCCCGGCAGTGCCGCCCCAGCCCTCCTGGCTGCAGGTCCCGTCCCGGGGCTGAGCCGGCCCTTGGAATGCAGCATCCACAGGATCTGCAGGGTCGCAGCCAAGCCAGCGCCCCCGGGGCTGGGTGGGGAACGGGCCGCCAGCTGCGGGGTGGGCTCAGTCCGGGAGTCCCACGCCTCCAGCCCGGATCCTGGCTGGCTCCCAGCCTGGCTGAGCTTTCCCTGGCTTCATCCAGCACCCCAGAGCCATGTCCCACATCCCAGCCCCAGCCCAGGCAGGAGTCGGAACCCACACCCCAGCAATCACATCCTGCATCCAGGATTCACATTCCAGCTTCGACACCCAGTATCCACATCCCACATCCCAGCCCCGACACCAGGGATCAGCATCCCACACCCCAGCTTCAACACCTGGGATCCACATCCCACATTCCAGTCTCAGTTCCCAGGGTCCACGTCCCGCATCCCACTCCGGTTCCCACCCTGGTTTGGGGTCCTGGGCCGGGCTGGGATGCGCTGGCCATGCCGCTGGGAGTGGTGTGGATGTGGAGTCTGCCAAGAGCTCACAAAAATACTCAGTGCTTTATTTCCACCCAAAGCCATCACACACATGCAGGGACACGGATGGGGCCCGTGGATGGGGACACTGATGATGGACACGCAGCAGCACCCCGGAGCCAGCCCGGCCCCAGCTCAGCCAGGGCCCGCAGCTCCCGCTGGAGGAGGCTCTGCCCAGCCCTGGGAGTGCAGGGATGAGCACTGGGACATCCCCGGGGACTCTCAGTGGGGAAGGGCAAGGAGGGTCCTTCCCGGCTGGGTGTGGGGTGGGATGAGCCCTGACAAGAGCAGAGCTCCCCAAAACCACGTCAGCTCCAGGAGCCCCTTCCAGCAGCACTGCCAGGAGGAGCCTGGGGATGCTGCCAGCCCCCAGCTCCCACCCAGCCGTGCCCACGGTGACCTCACAGCCAGAGCCCACACAGGGGGGGCACTGCTGGACCCCAGCAGCTCCCAGCTCCAGCCCCACAGCACAGGGGAATCCATGTGGATATCAGAGCAGGGACCTCCAGCACCAGCACCCCTGCCCTTCCTCCCCAAACTGGGCTGGAACTGGGGCACAGCCCCCTGGGAGCAGCCTGAGCTGCTGGGGGGTTTCTGGGAAAGGCAGGAAGGAGAGTGTGGATGCTCCCACAGCTGCTGTGCCCCCGGTGCTCCTGTCCCACTCCACGCAGTCCATTCAGGGGCCGGCATCTCCCCGCTCCCCTCCCGGGAACTCAGGCGTGGATGGGCTGGGATCCTGCCCCAGTCCCATGGGAGAGCAGTGCCCAGAGCCAGCCCAAAGGGCCACCAGCCCTTTCTGAGTTCTTGTCCCCAGACCCCCAGCCTGGGGGAGGAACCATGAGACCCCCAGGCCAAGCAGGGCAGGGCCAGCCCCCCGTGCCCCAGTGCCAGGAGCAGAATCCTGCTCTGCCCGGAGCACACCCCAAAGAAACAGGCAGCAGGTCCCTGGCCCTGCTCTGTCCTGCCCTCCCACAGCTGGCAGGGAGCTGGAGCAGGGGGGCCCTGGGAAGAGCCCCCAGCTTCCCTGTATGAGGGCTGCAGGCACAGCCAGGGACCATGCACAGACACTCGGGGGGCCCAGGATCCCGGGAGGATCCCTGGGGGGTCCAGGATCCCGGGAGGATCCCCGGGGGGCCCAGGATCCCGGGAGGATCCCCGGGGGGCCCAGGATCCCGGGAGGATCCCTGGGGGGTCCAGGATCCCGGGAGGATCCCTGGGGGGCCCATGATCCCGGGAGGATCCCTGGGGGGCCCATGATCCCGGGAGGATCCCCGGGGGGCCCATGATCCCGGGAGGATCCCCGGGGGGCCCATGATCCTGGGAGGATCCCTGGGGTCCCATGATCCCGGGAGGATCCCCGGGGGGCCCATGATCCCGGGAGGTTCCCGGGGGGGCCCAGAATCCCGGGAGGATCCCCGGGGGGCCCATGATCCCGGGAGGATCCCTGGGGGGCCCATGATCCCGGGAGGAGCCTTGCAGCGGCTCCACAGCAAACACCCTGCCCCAGCAGGAGAGGGAAGGGGCTCTCTGCCTCCCCCAGGAAGAGCAGTTCCCAGCAGCAGGGCTGGCTAGAAGTGCTTGTCCTCCAGCAGCGAGCTCACCACCAGCTCCTTGTTGCCGAAGTCCCAGAAGGCAGTCATGTGGAAGGCCATGTTGGAGAGGACAACCAGGTACTCCAGGAAGGCGAAGACGGTGTACACTGCAGGAGGGAACACAGCAGTGAGGCCAGACACCAGCCCTCCCAGAGGAGCCCCCCTAGGATGGGATTTGGAAAGCGAGGCATCACATTAGGAGGGCACTGGACATCAGGAAGAAGTGTGAGGAGTTAGGAGCACTTGTGCCATGGCCCAGTTGACATGGTGGGGATCAGTCACAGGTTGGACTTGATGATCTCAGTTGTTTCTGGGACTGAATTTTTGGACACGAGGAGGAACTTCTTCACTGAAAGGGTGATTAAACATCGGCAGGGGCTGCCCAGGGAGGTTTGGAGTGCCCAGCCCTGCAGGTGTCCAAGGCAGGCCTGGCCGTGGCACTCAGTGCTCTGGGCTGGGGGACAAGGTGGGGATGGGGCACAGGGGGATCCGTGGGCTGGGAGGGCTATTCCAGCCTCAGGGATCCCATGAGGGTCCCTCTCTGCACACAGCCCCCCTGCCCCTCCCCTCACCTCCGGGCCCGCAGTACCAGTTGTGGTGGAAATACACACACACGGCGAACGCGAACGTGATGAAGGTGAAGAAGAAGAGCAGCTGCTTCCACTTGTACGACTTGCGCTCCTGGAAGAGACCCAGAGCTGGGTCAGTGCCCTGTCCCTGCCAGGAGCCCTCAGCCCTGCTGACCATGGAGATGGCAGAGCAGCCATCCCCATCCCCATCCCCATCCCCATCCCCACCCCAGGGAAGCTCTGCCCTGGCCCCACGCAGCCCTGGGGGGGGAACACAGAACAAGAGGAGCCACAGGGGCCCCAGCAGACGTGGAGGACCCTGTGGACAGGAGCCCCCGCAGTGTTGGGGGGCACGAGGGGCTCCCCGAGGAGCGGCCAACGGCTCTGCCCGATGGCAGATCCTGCGGCTGCAGGTGGCCCCTGCTCCCCTGGGCATGCAGAATTCAGTGGGTGCTGTACCCCCTCACTCACAACTGCACCAGGGAGGAGGAAACCACATGAAGGGGAGGCAGCTGGGGCGGCAGAGGCGCTGCCCGACCTGCCCTGGCACTGGAGGGGCCTCATCCTGCCCCCCAGCACTGCCTCCAACAAGCAGGGGCAGAGCACGGGGATGCTGCCAGCACCCCACAGCCCAGCTTGCTGCTTCTGTGCCAGCAGAGTTCAGCCCTCCACAAAGGGGGCAGCCTGGGGGCCAGGCCTGTCCCCCACAGCACTGTCCCCCAACCCACTGTCCACTACCCCCAAAACACTTATGAGCCACAGGCTCCAGCCCCCCTTCCTCTCTTTCTCCCATCACACTGAGGGTGATAGCTAAGGAAACACAGCCCTGGGGTGTGCAGGGACCCCTGGAGCACAGGAACCATGGCTGGACCCCACGGAGGAGGCACGGGAGCCCTGGGACAGGGGGGATGCAAGGGGGGCTCAGCCCCACGGGGGAGGTTGGGGATGCCACAGACAGTCAGGGCTGTCACGGGCGGGAGGGGAATTTCCCCCTCGTCTGACACTTCACGTGAGACAGAAATTCCATTTCGAGGGAGTGCTGAGAGTAAGGAAAATTTAAATTGCCCCATCACACTTTCCATCTCCCCCCCCCCCGGAACGCGCGCCAGGGGCCCAGCCTGGGAGGAAAACCCAGAGAGGAAGGACGAGCCCTTTCCCATGTGGGGACACGCTGGTGACGCCACCTCCACCCTGAGGGGCCCGGCAGGTCCTTCCTGCTCGGACTGAGGAGGGTCCTGTCCCCAGCAGCTCCTGGCCCTCTGGGATCAGCTGGGCCGTGAGGGTGTGGGGTGAGCAGCGGTGCCAGCCGGGGTAAGCGCCCCGAGCAGCTGGGCTGATGTCAGGTTTCACACCGGAAACGTGGGTCACAAACAGCCCTGTTTGCACCCCGGTCCCACGGCAGCACAAACGGCTGAGAGTTCCCAGCACAGGCCCTGCACCCCCACAGCACTCCAGGGATCTGGCAGCCCGGAGCCTGGGGGCAGCTCAACCTCCCGGGATCATGGAATACCTTGGGGTGGGAGGGACCTCAAAGCCCATCCAGTGCCATGGGCAGGGACACCTTCCACCAGCCCAGGGTGCTCCAAGCCCCGTCCAACCTGGCCTGGGACACTTCCAGGGATCCAGGGGCAGCCACAGCTTCTCTGCCCAACCTGTGCCAGGGCCTGCCCACCCTCCCAGCCAGCAATTCCTTCCCAATATCCCATCTAACCCTGCCCTTCCTCAGCTTAAGGCCATTCCCTCTAGCCCACCGTGGGCATCTGTCTCATCATGTACCACCTCCCAGCCCCTCCTCCTGCCCCTGGGGATCGTGCTGGTGTGACCCCCGGGGCACTGGGCTGAGCTGGCCTGCCCAGGCATTAGTGATTAACACCTAATTATCCCCGGGATAATCCTCGGCCCAGACTGGGGGAGCGGAAGCACAGAGGGCACCCAGCGGGGCAGGGTCGGGGTGCTGAGATGAACCCAGCGTGGTCACTCCTGTGGGGACACCTCGGGGTCCTGCAGCAGGAGCAAGGGCAGCAGCCCCCAGGTGAGTGCCCTGGAGAGGAGCTGGCAGCTCCAGGCAGCCCCTGACACCTCCACACTCCAGCTGCTTGTGAGGGAAGTGGGGGATAAGAAACTCCTGAGGACCGGGTGCTCCAAGCTGAGCTGGCACCAGGCTCCCCCCCACCCCCCGTGCCCTGTCTGGGGCTGGTGCAGCTGCAGTGCCAACCCTGGCTTTGCAATTTCCTCCTGGCACGACAGACCGGGGCACCCGTGTCCCCTGCCAGCCCCCCTGGTTTCATCAGCCCCAGCTCTCCTTCTGGCCCAGGAAACCACAGGGAAATTCTGTTTAGTGCCCAGCTGGCAGCTGAGGCACATTCCCCTGGGAATACAGAGTCAGGAGCAGGAGCCTGGACAGTGAGGGAGAGGGGAGAGCAGCTGCACCCACTCAGCCCGGGGTGCTGCCCCGATCCCACGAGAGGCACCAGGGGGTCTCCCACTTCCATCCTGGGGGAGCCTCAGCCCTGCACACCCAGCTCCAAGGGCTGAGGGGAGGCTGCTGGGAGCCACCATTCCCCAGGGCCTCTAGACACGAAGAAGAGGGACCCTGATGAGTTCCCCCCCCCCAGTTCCTGATGGGGACGGGGGTGACAAAGTGACACTAACTCAGAAGGCAGCACCTCACTCTCCAGGGACCTCCCAAGCACCAGAGGGTTTCTGGGTGCCTGCAGGAAGCCTGAGGCCAAAGTGTGCAGTCACAGAGCTCAGATATTTATAGAGGGCTGGTCTGAGCCCGTGTCAGCACTCCCAGCTCGGGGAGCTGGGGTGAGACCACGCGTGGTCACCGAGGTGCCTGCGCTCCCTGCTCGCACGTCCTGCCCAGCACCGCGGGCTGGGGGGACACGGGGTTTACACCCAGAGGCACCACTGCCCTGCTCAGCTGCTCTGCTCGGGGTGTTCCCAGAGCTGCTGGGCCTGGGCTCAGCCTGTGTGCCCTGCAGAGCGG